CTACTAAATATATGCTGGAACATCCCTTCCCTCCTCAAAGTCCCTTTTGAAGATTAATCAGAGTTCCACGTATTCTTACAATATTCATAGCTTTACTGTACAAAAACACTCACCAGTTTCAGGTATATACTTCTAAAGTTGTACAATATAACAATGCACTTAGCTACTTCCCCATGTATCAAAACATACGAAATTTCTTTCTTTAAATACTGTGATAGGCTCCTAACTGAATAAGACGGAAAGTTTTATGAAGAACTGACTGCTGACACAGGCAAATGCAGTCTCAGGAGACTGTAACAAATTCGCATTTCTAGGGTGCAACTTATTCAAGAACGAAGTAGCACATGATAAGTAAATGTTTCGAAAACTCACAGATCCATCTAGAGCAGCAATTGCAGCTTTGGCTTCATTGAGAGAGCTCATGGTCACATACCCACATCCCCGGCTTATCCCTGTCTCCACATTTCTTGGGACCTTGAATAGCCCACAAAAACCAACACTTTAAACCCACAGTATGAGCAAAAGAGTAATAACAAAAAAGGAATTATCATAAAACTCTATGGACAACCCAAAAAGGTCCATCCCGTTACCCATAAGAGAAACATCCTTTTGAGAAGCCATGCCTGTTACCTCTTCCTATTCAAATTTCAAATTTGATAAGGATTTTGCTACGTAAATAAGTGCTGGACATAAAGCCAACCACTAGCTCCTTCCCAAGATTAGAATATTACTAGTAATTTTAAAACGTATATAACTACAGGTATTTCTTTGAAGAAATGGTGTCTCTTTGAGGTTGATCATTGTTAACCAACAGCAAGAATATGATTGTAGATCACAGCTTGAGCTAAAAAAAACTAGAACATAAATGTAATCTGGAATTTGAAAAGTACTGTTGGAATTATGTTAGAATCAAAAGGAAGCTTTGTAGGACAGAGCAAGTATCATTTGTTTTTTACAAAAATGGTATCATGCCTGGATGGGGAATTTCAACAAACACATGGAGTACCATCTTAAGGAAACTGAGCAACGAATCATTACCTCAACAGATTGAACGGTACCATACGTTTCGAACTGATTTAGAAGCTCAGGGATGCCACAGCTTCTGGGAAGATTACAGACGTAGAGTTCAAATGGTTTAAAAGAATTCCTGAACTCGAAATCCTCCTGCAAGCTGTACCCATTTCCAGAAATGGGGGATCCAGAAGAATACTGTTGTTTTTCATCTTCAACAAGTGCTGAAACGGTGAAATCCTCTCTACAAGTAGCAGGCTTTTTAGGACATAGGATAAAAGAGGAAGAAGAAGAAGACAATGGGGAGGTGAAGGAAGATATTTCATTTCTGCGGGGGAAGCGAATTAAGGAAATTAAAGAATCTGTGGAATTGATTTTGGATTTACAGGCCGGTGGAGAAGAAGAACAAGAACAAGAATGTAATGAAGACGTCAAGCAATAAGTGGCCATGGATGGAAAACTGGAAAAGCTTCAGCCAGCCAACCATGCGTTTATGGGATCTTGATATCTAGCTAGGAAACCGATGAATATTGGGCTTTTTGGGCTTCCATTGAAGACTGATATGACTAAGGCCCAATTTGGTTGGCCTGCTTTCTTCACCAATTCCAAATTATGTTTTACATGTTTGGTCAACGGTTCAATCCATTTATCAGATTCTGTCCACGCCCAACGCCACTTGTATTTAGAGATGGTAAAATGGGCTCGGTCTGAGACCGGCGGAAGGCCGGGACCGGAACTAATTTGGGACCGGTGGTCTGAGACCGGTTACAATATTCCACCAAAAACAAGGCCTGGCCCGGCTGACCCGATCTTTTTTATTTAAAATGTATTTTTAAGTTTATTTTTAAAAATATTTTTAAGTATATTTGATTGAAGACCAAAATGTATTTTTAAGTGTATTATATTAAGGTGGTGTTTTGTTTTTTAAGAGGTGTTGAAGTCTGAAATCTGATTTCAATTCTGATCTATAAGAGGTGGTTCTGAAATCTGGATCAGTAAGATTGTTTGTTTTTACGTCTAAATCCTGAAATCTGAATCGGTTAAACTAGTTGAAAAATATAAAAGATGAATAGTTTTTTACAAAAGTATAAAAGATAAATAGTTTTTGCTAACAAATCTCTTCCAACCCCTAAAATTTGAACCATTTGATCGAGAGCGGATTAGGAGTAAAAGGTATTAAGGGACACATTTATCACTTAATATTTCATAGGACATTTAGAGCTCTTAAGGTCTTATTTTAGAAATAAAACAAACGCTCTTAGTATCCAAACGTCTGAACGAATCCGACTTCAGAGGTATTAAGAGGTAATTTTGAAAAAACAAACAGGCCCTAAGTGTAGTATGATAAAAACGTATTTTTTAGTGTATTCGATCGACCCAGTTAAATATTCTAAAGTACATTTGATCGAACAAATACTTTATAATAAAAACGTAATCTTTTAGCGTTTTTGATTGACCCAATTTTAATATAATAAAAAAACGTATTTGCTAGTGTATTTGATTGACCAAAATTCTTCAAAAAATAGTTTTTACAGATTAAAAATCAATTTTGGAAAGAATTTTTTTTTAAGTGGGACCTATTTGGGCCCGGTTCAGTACCGGACCGGTTCTCATAACCGGGCCTCATATTCCTTAACCAGACCTTCTCTCTTTGACCGGGATTGGGATCGTTTGCACCTGAACCGGTTCAGATTGTTACTATTTGGGCCTGGTCAGGGACCGGTTTTTAGCGATGTTGTATTTATATATTCCAATATTATGAACCCAAATTAATTAGGAACTCGTGAAAAACATATTCATGATAAATAATACGTTTATATTTCTAACCAAATATATCATGTATCATGCAATGAACGGTTCCTGATTTCCTAATTAACTTTGGATGGGTTTATGATTATGAATAAAAGGAATTACTAATAAAATAAATAAGGAAACAATCTTACAGATATTTTTTTTCTCTCAAAACAATCATATACATAATCTATATAGACTACGTGACTTAAATCCAAGGGTCTACTATTCGAGTATTGTTGATATGTGAGAATGGTTGTTGCGAAGATTAAGGTTACAATGTTTATACGTATTAAAAAGTTGCCATACGAGTTACAACCAACACAAAAGAAAAAAAAACAGTTATAAGTTGTTTTTATTTCATTTATTTTGTATCAAAACAGTTTTATTTCACTCACACTTATTTACTGATGTGATCGTCGTAGAGTTATGCCAGGTTTATTTCACTGAATGTATTTTAGATGTTGATATATTTCGAGCGTATGAAATATTGGGTGTAGCATTTTTGAGGTTGTTCTTGTATTTATGTACTTTGTTCTTTTTCTTTGTTTAAATATAATCATGAGAACTCCGGTCTATAGAGGAAGTGTGAGAATAACATCTTCAATAGTTATGCTATTTTTTTTAAAAAGTTAGAGGTTTAGAATTAAAAATATTTGATTTTAAAGAAGGGTGAGAAAATATAAGAGAATTTTCTGATATGCTGTGATAAGTTTACGGGAGTGTTTGAGATTGCTTACTTAAAAATGTGTTAATTTATTTCGCTGTAATATCAGTAACAAATAGTTTTTAATCTTTGAATGGAAAAAAAATGTATATCAATTTATTACGTTTTGATACCGCTATAAATGGAAGCAATTTTTATAAAAGTTTTGGTGGGGAAAAGTGGTCCAAAGTCCCGTTGGTATTACTGGAGGAGTGTGGTTTTTTCACCATTGCTGTGTATTTGTTTGGTGAACCTTTGATTCTTAAGCTGCGAGGCTATCAAAATTCTGTTTACAAATGTTAAAATCAGTGGGTAGCCGCTGCAGCAATGAAATCCCCAAATTCCTCTTCTTCAGATCATCGTCATCATCTTCAAGAAGCAAATTCCACAACTATTATCTCAGAAAAAGGCGAAAATGGCCACATCCAGTTTACAAATCCCGTTGGCACGAGAAATTAAGCCAACAACACGCTATGCAAGCCCTTCGACATCAAGCTTCATCATCATCTTCCATCAATCTTCTCTCCTCTCTCGTCAATTCTTTCGCTCTATACAACTGTGACCCAACTCCAACTGCTTACCGTTTTGCCATCAAGACTCTAATTAAAACCTCACAATCCCACCACATTCCGCCACTTCTCCACCACCTCCAAACATTTGAGAAATTTGAAACACCCGAATCAGTTTTGATTGATATAATTGAGTTTCATGGCGAGAACAACGAGTTTCAGGAAGCAATTGATCTTTTCTTTAGACTACCCACTTTTAGGTGTATTCCTAGTGTGGATTCGCTTAATTGTTTGCTCTCTGTTTTGTGTAAGCGAAAAGAGGGACTGGGAGTTGTGCCTCAGGTTTTGTTGAAGAGTAGGTTGATGAATATTCGTCTTGAAGAATCCAGCTTTGTTATATTAATTGAAGCTCTTTGTAGGTTTAAAAAGCCAAAAAATGCAATTGGTTTGTTGTATCATATGGTTGATCATGATATTGACATTGATCAACGGAGTTTTTCATTGGTGCTCTTGACTTTGTGTCAGCAAAACGATCTGAAATCTAATGAGGTCATGAGTTTGCTGGAAGAAATGACGAAATTAGGGTTTTGCCTCGAGAAAACAGATTGGGGGAACGTGATTCGGTTTTTGGTGAAGAGGGGGAATGGTATGGAAGCTTTGGAGGCATTGAGCAAGATGAAATTGGATGGTTTTAAACCTGATGCTATCTGTTACACCATGGTTTTAGATGGGGTGATTTCTGAAGGTGACTACGAAACTGCAGACCAACTGTTTGATGAAATGCTTGTACTGGGTTTGATTCCTGATATCAATACTTACAATGTGTACATGAATGGGTTGTGCAAACAGAACAAATTCGATGATGGAATTAAGATGCTTTCAAGCATGGAGGAACTTGGGTGCAAACCCAATATGATCACTTATAATACACTATTGAGTGCAATCTATGAGAGTGGAGAAGTTGGTAAAGCACGCGACTTTTTAAAAAATGTGAGAGCGAAGGGAGTTCTACTGCATTCACGAACGTATCAGATAGTGATCTATAGAATGATCGTTACAGATGATATCGCGGGAGCTTTAGATCTTTTGGAGGAGATGGTGCAAAAGAGCTTAGTGATTCAGCCTTCAACATTTGATGAAATTGTTTGCAGGTTGTGCCAAAACGGATTAGTCTCTAAAGCGCTGAACTTGCTGACTGAATTGCTAGAAAAAAACGTGCTTCCTGGATGTAGATCATGGGAAGCATTGATAGTTGGATTTCACATTAAACATGGTTTCAACGAGATCGATTTGAATGCCATGGAAACAATGTCATCCTGACTATACCCATTGATTACCTCTGCTGATGTGGGTTTAATGGGTGTCACAAACTAAGCACATTATGGCACCTGGATGTTTAACATCTCGATTTTTTGGGCCCCATGAAAAAGACAACCGCTCTACTATTTGGGACAGAGGTCAGGTCTGCATATACATCGCACTCTAGGTTCATTTGGTTCGGTTTGGTTTAGATGTGGCTGATAACAGTATGAAGAATGACATAAAATTACCATTTTATCCTCATTTCTTGTGTTGAATGAAAATTATGTTTGACAAAAGTTCTTAATGAAATCTAACTTTTGATAGAAGTTCTAATGAAATTTCTAAATAAAAATAGCAAATAATTAATGTCCAAGCCAATACATGATATCATATGAATTCAAACAAAAATAACAATGTTTGTTTAAGTTACAAAACATCACATGAAATGCAAGTTTAAACACAATATTTATGTACAACATCTAACATGAAGCATTTAACACCAATTGATTTGCAATCTCGTTACGTAAATTAGCCATGTACTCATTGTCTTGGGGACCCCAAGACGTTGCATCCATCTCTTCCGCGAACATGGCTTAAGACTTAAGATCGGTGCCTTCTTGTCCATGTATAAGGACCTCATGCATACATGTTTCAAGAAACGTTTGCACCACAATCTCTTTTTCCCGGATTATTCGTCGTCTCTTTATGAACCCTCACCGACAATGTTTATACCTTACAAATGACGAAATATAGCAAAATCAATATTGAAATCCTAACATATGACCAAAGTATAACAAAAATCTCTTAGATGCAAAACTAGTAGAAGAAAATCTTGTTATTAGATAGAGAGGGAGTGGAAAAATCTCAAATAGGATGCAAAAAACAGTCAATTGAAGCCAAAATAGTCGCAACAAATTGGATAACTTGCATCATGTAACCAATGGCACCAATGAAACCAAAATTATCGCAACAGAGACATGAAAATACGAAACCAAAAATAATCAGATAAAAAAGAGAGATGAAAGCAAAAATAATCACAATAAGCTGGATTTTGCAAGTCGAGAGGTCTAACCTGTTGAATTGATGGTAGGTTTGAAACCAGGGGTCGTCGCTAGGTTTCTACTGGGAATGCCCAGTGCGATTCCAACAGTTGGTGCATCGTTGGTTTCCAACTGATGTTGCAGCGGTGGTATTCAACAATCGAACAAGAGGAGAGAGTAGAGAAGAATGGGAGGATCGATGGGGAGGAGAGTGTAGAGACGAACCGGAAGAGGCGAGGAGGGCAAACGTGGGAAAATTGCATATCTTAATCATACAGGGAGTAGATGGTTGAAGGAGCGATTCAGGGTTAATTGAACCATTCAAACCTTTTTTGAAATCCATCCAAACAAGAAAATGTTCGACATAATCAGAATCAGATCTTTACCTCTTAATGATGTACAAACAATCCCTAAGATAATTATAATTGTATTTCAATTTAAAGTTTCTTTCACATGTAAGGTACGCTCATTTAAACCAAGTCAAGGCATATATACACACACACACATATATATATATATATATATATATATAATATAGGCATGGATTCGTGTAAGGACCACAAAAAATTTGAGAACCATGAGAGCCTATATATTTATTGATGTCAAAATATGTATTTGTCAATGAGTGCATTCATCACTGGATATCTACTATGTATGTAAGAATATGCATTGCTGCATATGCTCACATAAATTCATTAGTGTATATGCAAGAATATTACGGGCTATTGGTTCACGAAATTCAAGGGAATTGGAATGATCAATTTCATAGACCAAATTTCAATTCCTTCCTTTGGTTTACATATTGATATTTGATGGAATTCTATGAATTCCTTTGAATTTCACAAATTAATGGATTCATCATTTATTTGCCCCCCACCACGACCATGCTACTACTGTCATGCCCCCTACCCCCACCACCCACCCTGCCCCATCACCAATGTCACGTTGTCATCACAACCACCAATACCAATACCACTAGGCCACTACTGTCGTCACCACAGCTGTCACCCCTACCCTCCCCAAACAAAGATGGATATTCCGATTCCTTTGAGAGACTACAATACAATTTCTACCAACCAAACGTATGGTCAAATTCCATTCCAATTCCTTTGATGGATTCCAATTCCACCAAATTTCATTCTGCAGGCCAAACGCCCCCTTAGATTTTCACAAGAACCGGCCCATATATGTATGTATAGAGCGTCAAGTTCAAACGAGAACAATGACAAAATAAGAAAATATGAGAACAGATAAATCACATGTGATTACGTGCAACCTTGACCAAATTGCCCGCACACCCATTCGTTGACTGAGTTACATATTTGCATGTGATTTATCCATTTCCTTGTTCTCTTATTTTGACCATGTTCTCATTTGATCTCCCTCTTTTCCTCTATATATATGAAGGGACCTTCTTTTGAGAACTTGTAAAATTATGACAACTTTGAAACAATATATGATTTTTGAGTAGAATTCACAACTCCAAAAAGGCAAAAGTGAAAGTGAGAGAATTTTTGTAAGCACTTGGGATTTATTATAAAAGTTGAATCATAGAGATTCCATTCTACACTCTCGTCATCATATGGAAGCAAATACATAATATGGGATTTTCAAAAACTTCTTGTGCTCTTCTGTTGTTTACATTTCTTCCTATAAAATATTAATTATCATCATCATTGTACAGATCTTTCTCATCTGTAACATCCTCAACCTCACTCTTACCTCCACCTCCATATTCATTGCTCGTACCATTGTTGCTGCTTTCAGTCCCGTTCACTTCCGATTGCATACTATCCATCATACCCGACAAAGCCAATCGTGGGTCCCACTCGAGAACATCATCAATAATGTTCGACACCCGCCTTTGATACCTGTCACCAACCAACCATATGTGGCTCAATTACTCCCAAAAACCAAACAGTAGGCCAAATTCATTGACATTGACAAGAGATTAGAATCAAACCTGGCCCTAGCAGCCTCATCAGGGGCATGATGCCTCAAAAGTAATATTGCTAGAACAGCCACAATTGCATAGAAGAACCTTGCTGTTAACTTCGGTTTCTCCTCCTCGTCTTTCTTGGGCCAAAAACGGAATAGTTCTCGCAGTGTAGCTTCCTCAGCAAGGATGTTCGGGAATATCCAGATTCGCCTCCCAAGTAAAATCCATGACGCACCAAATATCAATGCCCTCACTGTGAAGATAAAAAATATATATATATTTACACAGAATTATGCAAAGACAGTCCATAATGTATAAAATCTCAAACAAGAGTGAAGCTTTTATAATTATCATGCTCACGATAGCTTATATCAGATAGCATTATCCGACCACCTACTCACAAAAAGTAAAAAGTTTGAATTATATGGAGGAAATAGAGCGATACACTCTAAAGGCTAGTGGATAATGGGGAGATATTGTTGCAGTAGCTTTAAATCTAAGGCATCTTAATATGTAGAAATAATGTGCATAATTGAGACACACAGACACAAGTTTATTGCCTTCTCCTTATATTATCGAAAAGGGGGTGAGCAAAATCCATGGCCTTGAACAAGAACGAGGGACCTTTGCTGCCTAGGTCTTAACTATCAACCAATGGAGGCACTTGGCAACCATTTCACCAAAAAGGTCAGAAAAAGGCATCATTCAAGATTTCAATGACATGAATCTCAAGATAAGCTCAAAGGTGACCCATCATCAATAATCCAACAAAATATATACCAATAATAACAAAGGAGAGAAAGAAAGGCAAGGAGGAGAAAGGCTCCAAGTCAATTGCCCACAAATCAAGAGCACTGTACCGACTAAAGGGGCTGCGGCCATGTGGGTTTGAATTTAGTTCTACATAACTACCAATACAAGAAAACTAAAACCGTCAAAACTCATTTTAAGTGCTTCAAAATGCACATACATGTGGTACATGACGATGAAAAATAAAAAAGGAACCACTCTTGAGAATGCCTAATAACCAGATACATGTAAAAAAGAAAGATTAGTTTGGCCAGCATATCTAGTAACCGCTCCTTGTTATCTTGCAACGATTTATAACATCCTCCATGTTCTCTAAATCTATGCATTCAGAATACCTATGTTCTTTCTATGACCAGATCAGAATTTGCATGATCTGATAAAGTATCTTCTCAGCTTGTTAGTAACAACTCAGACAGACCACTCGACCAGCTTATGATATGCTGAGTTGCATACACACAAGAACAAGAAATTATTACTTTTTACAACTCAAGAGAGGTATGTTAGTAGTTCCTTCATATTTCAACTTGACGAGTTTGTGTGTATTGTTTACAAGTGCAAAACTGCAAATAAATACCATACAAACAATAATGATAATAGCAATAATAAAGAAGACAAACAATGGTTTAATAGAGAGGAAGGAGTACAGAAATGGGCAAAAAGACCGATCCGTTGGGTAGACCGATTCATTGGGTCCAGTCTCTGGACCTGGACTGGACCATTACGTCATCTGGCCAGACCACCAGTCCTTAACCTGTAAGAATTCTTTTGAGCGAACTAGTCCCAGACTGGTCACTTTAGGACCGGATAAATCCCCAATCTGAATAAAAACTTGGTCGGATTAGACCAAATCGGACCCGGACCGGTCTATTTGTATTTTCAGAATTTGTTGTCCAAAAACGAAATAAATAACTGTAACTAAAACTTTTAAAAAGAATAAATTGTTTACAAAATCAGATTAATAAATTTAACTAATTTTTATATTTTTTAACTTAATAAGAATAAAATGTTTATAAATTTAACATAAATCAAAAATCATTTCTCCTACCAGGACTGCAGGACAACTTGGATATATCAACAGCACAAGTAACACATTGATCTAATAGAGCAAGTTATCAACAGCATAACAGCTTGTAACGAATTACAGCACATGTTATTTACTTTTCCACCATTTAGCCTCTGTCGACAAGAGAAGCATTCTTCATCAAACGTTCATAGAAGGAAAGAAATTTTGATTTATCCCCCCAACTGTACCAAAAGAAAAAGTCTGCATAACATATAACATTCAGTAGTAAAAGATTTTTCGCTTTCTGTTTTGTTCTTGCCTATCACCAGATCCCATATTCCGACATTGTTTTTGTCGTACTCAACTTGACGACGGTCTTAAACAAGTATGATTTAAGCTTTGATATCCAGTATCCAAAGATAAAGCCAGTCTAAACCAGTGTTCAATTGGGCAAGATTGAATTTCACAATCGTGTTTAATTTTGGGATGTTTATTCATTCAATTTTTTTGCCTATTTCTTAATTATTCAAGATTCAAGGCAAAATGCAGATAACAAGTTTTTTAATCAGACAGGATAGAATCTCATAATATTTTTTAAATTGTAATTAACCCCCGGTAATCACAAGCATAAACAAGTTACTGCATCACATGTACTGATTGATGTAATTAGTACTATAGTTGCAAGGCAATTATAATAAAATATAAAACAGTAAAAGGAATGTTTCCAACAAATACTAATAACAAGAATAAGATACTTACCCAAAAGCAGGCAAAGTATAAGGAGGAGTACCCCAGCACATGAGTAGAGTATAAGCAGCTTTGCCTGGTGGGGATACACAGGGAATAAGCAGATCGCAAGAGTCAAAACAGGCCAGGATAATGACAGAAGTGTTTGCCATAGTGGCCGCTTGTTTACAAACGTCCATGCAAAAAATGCATCATTATCAGAGAACTCCTGGTCCTGTAGATGACATAGAATAAACAATATAAAAAAAACTCATTTGTGGGTTCTATGTTCATCTTGAAGCTGTAAACTTCACTAGTCAACAAGCTAGAGATCAAATGCAAACAAATAGCAAAATATATGATCTTAAATTCTTGATTTTGGCAAAGTTTGAGTTTAATATTGTTTGTAGTCCTTTTTCCATTATAGTGAAGTGAAAAGCTTCATCTACAACGAAAGTTCATTCTCAAGAACATTTTCTTTTTCTGACCAAGAAACCTAGACAGTACACATATTATGATGTTCAAAAAAGAAATGAAGCACAAAAGACTGAATGTGGTTTAAACTCTACAACATTTATAGAGAAGATGGTGCTGCTGGGCATGTATTATTCAAAATTAAGGGTATCAACAGTCCCATGTGGGACTGCTTTTGGTTTAATATGCTCTTAAGATACAGTAGAAGCACTTGACGTGATCGACCATCATTCCAGTTTTACAGTGTTGAACCATCATTGTGTAAACTTCTTGCAATCTCTAAAAGTGTAATAAAATTGCTTCTTGGAACAAAATGATATATAGGTTTATCTGCAAACATGCCTTATCCCTTGTGAGGGTAACAGCCCTCTAGCTTCTCTGAAAATATGTTGTGTTTTTTAACAATTTGTCAGAAAGGTAGTCTCTAATCAATTAGCTTAAAGATCAATTTGTTCTTACTGCTATTTACTGTAGTCTATTTTCATATGCTTAGCATACTATGCAATATGCATCATTAGTATCATCATCATCATCATCAAATCAATGAAATCTGTTATCCTACGGAATGACTTGACAAAGAACAAATGAACTGTCAGCAAAGACGCTAACTTCATCATAAGGTGATTGTATCCTGGCATATGTACTCTAACCTTTGTATAGCTTCATACTTACTGTAACTTGAAAGAAACAAAGAGTGAACGTCACTGATACTTACTTTCCTATTTACCCAAAAAAGAGAGGAAGTAAAGTGAATTCCCAAATTCCTACTATTGGGGAAAAGGCAGATCCCTTCAAGTATAGCCACCTTCTCTCATCCCTCTAACTTTATCATGCTTTTCTATTAACACAAGGTGATATGGTTCTTCACAGCTGTACCGACATTAGGTGCTGTTCATCTATGGTTGATTGACACAAAAGAGTATAGGATGCAAGTGGATTAACCAACCTATTTTTTACAGTTAACATTATGACCTCGCCAGCAATGATCTGTTATCAGCACACTTTGCTGACGAGCAGTTTTGGTTCTACCAAGTAAAATTGTTTGAACTTTAACCATTGATTTGGTCCCTGTAAATAGCACATCAACTTGCAGGGAACAACCATCACATATATCCCAAAAATAAACATGAGTTAACAAGAAATCGCTAAGAAATATTTTCTACCCAAAAGCAAAAGGATGGCACATGATTAATTCATCGTAGGACATGTAATAACCTGTTACAGTATTCACTACCTTTACTACTCTGGCCTGTCAGACGATAGTGCATAGAATGAAACTAAAAACTAGGAAAGAGATTTCATAACTTGACATTGTTACATGTAAGGACGAACTTACAGAAACATTAAAAAACTTCTCGGTGCTGGGAGGAAGAGGGTTTATGTATGATTGATGTGAGCAAACATATAAGAGCCAACACCGCATGCCCAGAGAGGGGGGGAGAAGTTCATGTACTGATTTAGTCAATTTAAGCCAAGAAAACTTCGAAACAAAAAAGTCTAAACAATAAAAGAACTTACAGGAAATATCTCTAAATGAGCTGGCCACGTTGACAATTTTCTCTTTCCAGGGCGTACTGTTTTCACCACACGATCACAACGAACTAAAAGATTCTTGCTCAGCAGCATATTGACGATATCTTCTACTTCTAGATGCCTATCTGATTCTAAGATGTCTTTGAGCTCTGGATGATTTCTCAAAAAAGTAACAAAATCCTTTCCCCTAAAGTACTCAACACGGGTTTCCTGTAACACAGCCCACCTGGAAACCAAGTCTTTATGATCTCTCACTTTCTCAGCAAATAATTGGAAAACATCTTTCTTGTTTGCTTGTTTCTGGATTCAAGGAAGAAATAGATCATAAGTAAACTGAGTATCTTCATTTGTATTAAAGATTAGATAATTGAACAGTTGATACCAACAAAACACCTCAGTCAAAATTTTAATGTCAGATCAAAATACAAGCAAAGAGTAAACAGATGTGGAAATAAAGCCCACAGAAACATAACTGCCAGGTAAGTAAACAGCAAAAGATCATAAAACCGTGTATATTTCTTTCATATGCATTTTACCTTGCATACGTGACTGTCAAATTCATCTACAGCTCAAGTTTGAGCAGTTAAATAAAAATTACTCTCTGGTTAGGAGAAGATAACTATTTTAAACAATTTGACAAAGAATTGCTCATGAGTTACAATGATAAAACTAGCAGCTTCATAAAAATTCACAACATGGTGAAAGAATCTGCACAGATTCACCTGTGGAATTAGCAGTGATACCGAAAAGGATGGGACTATGGAACAAAGACTTCCTACTCAGGAACTATGGAATCAGGAATTGCTACTCATGGACCATCTTCGATTGCTTGACACAAAGGGAGGACTGTTGTTAACAAAATAGCTTTTAATATTCGAAAGTGTAACAGACTTGCTTCACAATGAAGTGTAAAAACAAATTGCCAAAGGAATTGCTGATGATGTCCTCATGCACAGAACGAACACATGATTAAAACTAATACAACATCTAGCAACCAAAAACTATATTTTAATTCACAAGTAGAAAGAATTTTATCTTTTGCCTCAATGGTTGTAACCCCTTTATCATAGAGAAACAAACACTGGAGTCAGGATTTAAAAGAGAAAATATATCATGTTCCCTTTAAAAAATAGGAAAAGATTACAAAACAATCTCTTAGTTCCACTTTTAAATACTTGCTTGCAGCACACTGATTTCCATCTCTACATGGATTATGGACACCAGCATTGATAAATCAAGTTTAGCATTAATTATGCAACATCTTTCAAAGCTGCATAGGTATCTATAATCCAAAAGACAACCATGAAGAATCAAATAACAAAATGAAAAGGTGAAGTCTAAAGATCGACGCAAACAAGAAAAACCAACAAAGAAATATCAGCAACGCACTTTATGATGCCTGTGAAAAAGCATTATGTAATCCAGTTGTTATGAAAGTCCTACTAGTGACAATAGTTTCTAAAATTTTCAATAAGAATCCAGAAAAACCAACAAAGAAATATCAGCAATGACATGAGGGCATATAGCAGACTCCTCCAAAACAGTTTTTCAGGATTCACAAAAAATTGATTTCCATCTGTATCAAGATTATGGATAAACAACAACAATGTATAAAATTAAGCATTATAGAAATGCAACATCCTCCAACATATGCATCCATAATAAACTAAGAATAATTACATGACAAAATAATATGAACTCATCAAGTCTAACAACCAATGCAACTAGAAAAAAGGGCCCCCTCTGAATCATCCTTTTACCTTCATTTTTTATGGGAAAGCATTTTCAGTAAGGTTGTCAAGAAAGCCTATAACAGACCAAAAATATCTTGGAATTCTCTATAAGAAGTAAGAACACAGGAAACCTAACAAGAAGAAAAAACCATTTTTCCCCGACAAGGGGATAGGAAGTGGACTCCTCCAAGCACCTATAATCTATATCAAATCATTTATCTGGCCAAAACAGAAACCATGCAGCAAACAGTAAATGATCTTTTCCCCTGATCTTAGGGCTACCCAAATGCTACCCAACAGAAGGTAACGACTACTTTCCAGGTAGACTGGGTCATAGACACTCAACTTGGATCCACTTTCTCCTCTTCAGTCCATCCACCTTATCCCAGACTTACACATGCATGATGCACTCAACAACAGTGAAACAAGTAGTAATTCCCAAATAATATCATTAACTGCTTGATGCAAAATTATGGCAAAGAAAAACTGGATCCTCCAAGTTAGTCGTTTATGAATAGCTCGCTGCAAAGTAGCTATGATGCAATTAAGTATCAACAACTCCTATAAGCTAAAACCCAAGAGAAAGTGACAGACCAACAACAGGATGGAAATTTTATGGTTAATGTGTGCACATAGAAATTGGATAACCTGAAGTTATAATTCCTGAATCAAAATAGCTTTCTTGTATTAAAACCCTCGGCAAAATATTCATTCAAAGTTCCACATAAGAAGCATTTTTTTGGACAATCTGAAACAAGATAATCGATGCTACGAAAAATAAAACAATTATAATGTAGCAATTGCAATGAAATTACACCTATACGTACTACAACAAAGTTCAAATCATGATCGCGAAGTAACAGTTCCCGTCACAAACACGTAATGCTGAAGAATTGATGTAGAATTTCTGTCATACAGATCCAATAAAAACAAATGACAAAATGATGATGCGAAACGATTGTAACATGTGTGTGCAGGATCGGCAAAAAAGAGGGGTAACTAACCCTAGGAGGAGTATCAGTAGTCGGATCTCGGCTGGTGCCGTTTTTTACAGCAGCGGAGGATCGCCGGGCCCTCTTCTTCTCGGCTCCGGCTTTCTTCATTTCCCTTTTTGGCCTTGACCTAGTTTCCGAGTTTTCTCTGCTACGGGTTTTGGTTATGTTATTGTGTTGTAGAGCGAGGAAGAGTACTACTCCCCCTGCAAGGTGTTTTACACGCTGTATAACGCGTGCCAAGCATGAATTATTTGTAAATAATGTGATCATCGTTTCCCATCAAACCTACAATTTACTAGCGTGCTCAAAACACCAATGCTCCATGCATTTTGTATTGTTTATTTGAAATAATTTATGTTTTTCTATAAAAGTATTTATCAACTTATTATAAGTTAGAAGGATTTAACTTCTTCAAAAACTTCTTATTACCGGTTTGACATCTTATGTCATACAAATTGGTCGCCTTATGTCACGTTTTAAAAAATGTTGTGTCCATCTTGACGTGTAAGCTTGAGGCTTGACCTCGGCATGCTATTTTGAACCTTCGTCAAACCCGAAGCCACTCGATAACTAATCGAGTTTTAAAATCTTAAAACCATAGCTATTGAGTTGAAACAAAGTTAGGACTATCTAAATACAATCCAAAACCCGACCCGATGACCCATTGTTTTTTGATACCACAAATTTAGTGTGATTAAGGTGCCGTTTACCAAACGCTCACCCGGGTAAGCGCTTACCAAATCACTTTATTTTACCGGATGAATATGACAAGGACTAAGAATCTTACCCGGTAAGAGCATAAAGTAAGAATCGAGAGTCTTACCCGGTAAGCGAGGGCGACCACTCTTACCATGGTTAGCGCTTACCGGAATAAATTGTTGCATACGATGCGTTTTTGTGAATAAAATCTTATTCGGTAAGTAAATGAGAATGTTGAATTTTACCGGTAAGTATTTATCGGGTAAGTGTTTAGGTAAACGACCCCTAAGTCTTTAATTAACATATGTAACAGTTAACATTAATAAAAAAAAATGGTTTAAATATATTGTAAAAATGATACACCAAATTTTCAACCCGTCAATCCAACCTATACGGGTTGGATTGAGTTGGTTGTAATTTTGTGTGGATGGAATTGTATTAAATTTTTCAAACCGCAAACATTAAAATGATTTGTTTAAATTCATTTAACTCAGTTAACGAACTCATTTTGTAATCCTACTATATATACATTAATATTAGTTATTTACGGTTCCGATATAGCATGAAAACTATATTATAAACCTAGAATAAAAGTTAATATGAACTTATAGTTGTATAAACAAATTTCAAAATTATTTTCGAATAAAACAATTACTAATTCAATGATTAAATAAGAAAATAAAAAATGATATATCTATATTAATGTTAAATTAAAGATCAATAAAATTCTTGTTATTTTTATATAATTTGCTTATAATATTTTGGATTTAAAAATTAAGATGTAATTTAGTTTTTTTGAGTGAAGGGGTCAATTTTTTTATGTAGATGATGGTGGAGTAATTGTAATGTTAGCATGATTTAATAATTTTATTATTTATTTAAATGTGTTTATCAATTGATTGATTATTTAATTTTATTAATTTTAAAAATATTTAAGAAATAGTACGTTGGCACTAATTAGGGGGCCGTTTACCTGAATGCTTATTCGGTAAGCGCTTACCGTTAAGAGTCAACATTATAATTTATTTTATCATATGCAACAATTTACCCGGTAAGCACTCATCCTCACTTACCGGGCAAGACTCTCCATCATAATCATCGCTCTTACCAGGTAATCGAATGGATCAACCGGATCTTGAATGGCCGTCCATAATCCAATAATCGAATTGATCCAATCTAATGATCATCCAACATACATACATACATAGCATTAATCTAACATGAGGCAAGACGAGGCGGGAAGGTCAACCCTCAAGCTTTACAAGGTACGACGAGGCAATGACGATTTCTAAGTCGTGTCCTAAGGCGACATATGTGTATATATATACATGTATACTTGTGTACGTTAGTGTTTTGAATAATCTCGTAGAACAAATTTAAATCCATATAAAATAATAAAATTAAAATGAAAAAAAGAACCATTTATACTAAATATATCAAACTTACAACAAATTGATATCAAGAGTGCAGAATCATGATTAAATCTTTAGTCTTTATTTCACTACTTTCTTTGATCTTCAAAGAATTCTTGTTCGACTCTCCTTGTACCAAAACGAAAGCAAACATTTACCGATTTAAGGTTTTAGTTTTTATGTTCTCTTTAATGTTTATGTTTTAAAAAAGTAAAAAAAATGGCTTACTATTATAACATGTCATAGCACACCATAATGTGCCATAACACACTATAACCCTTTACAACGGAAGTCAAGCCTTAAAGTGGAGCCACATGATTGAACGTGACAACAAAGCCAATCCTTGATGCCAAGGCCGTAATGAGTTATTTAAAACCACGATTGGATAGAATAACAAAATCCAACATCCAATGAATATTAAAATCAGATCAAATCCACCTAAATTCATTGGATTTCAACCAATGAACATGCCTAAGGGGCCATTTACCTAATCACTTACCGGTAAAATTTAACACTATCGCTTGCTTATCGGGTAAGATTTTATTCACTAAAACGCATCGTATGCAACAATTTATCCCGGTAAGCGCTAACCATGGTAAAAGTCTTCGTCCTCACTTACCGGGTAAGACTCTCGATTCTTGCTTTCGCTATTACCGGGTAAGATTATTAGCCCCTGTTATATTCATTCGGTAAAGTAAAATGACTTGGTAAGCGTTTACTAAGGTAAGCGTTTGGTAAACGGCCCCTAAGTAAACTAACAAAAAAAGTAGAACTAATAAAAACTGGTAATGTTAAATCTCCTTGCACCAAATTGAAGCATCCAATTCAATAACTCAAAAGCTAACAAAGATGAAACAGATATAATTGATGAATCCATGCTTACTCTAAAATGTAAAATACATTAGAAACAAAGCCGAAACAAAGCCAAAACAAAGTAATCCAAGCAAAATTGCTGATTTAAACAAAGATGGACCTGGATATAAACCGAAAAGGGGTCGGAGTTTTTAGATTTTGTTGAAGGCGACAATATCACAGCTTTGCACATACTCGTTAATGGGCTCGACTGTAAGGCGCTCCTCTATGAGGGTATCCACGGAAACAAGATCATCCACTATCGTCATCATGATCGTCAATTTCTTGATCCCGTAACCAACTGGGACAAGTTTTGCTGTAAACGTAATCATAAAAACGATGTTATAACTCATTGGTGATGGTATATTTCCATCCATACGCATATGCTCAGATCATCCGATAAGTAAGGCAAGTTTTAAAACCAATAGGTTGTAATTGGACAAAATGATGCCAAACAAACAAAGTACATCTCACTCGAAAGCAGCGGGTCTAGGAGGGGTGGGATGTAGGCAGACCAGTCCTCTACCATAAAAGGTAGAGTGGTTGTTTCCATGAGGACCACCCTGGCTTGTGCAAAAGTGTGAGCTATTTTGAAATATAATTTCAAAATCACATTATGTGATAAGATTTACTGAGGTGTTTGGTATGAGGTATTAAGTAATCATTAACGGGACTGAACATAAAAGAAACTATTTGGTTTTATATAATATAATGGGTCCATTCCCTGGAAGCCCAAATTTTCATTCCTGGTTAAACCAGGAGGAATGAAACTTCATTCCCGTATTTGTTCCATGTCATTTTCATTTCCACTCCCCTACCTGAATCAAACAGCCCCTAAAAGCTGGGGCAAACATGCCTAAATCAATGAAGGTGAGATTACATACCAAACGAACCTAGCATATCTAGCTCAAAAGGAGGGTCTAAAGGGGTGGGTGGAATGTATGCAAGCCTATCCTCTATCCCAAACACATTAAGATACCAAACGAACCTAGTATATCTCACTTGAAAGCAAGGTGTGAAAGGATGGAATGTACAAAGACATTGAGCTTTTCTTATCTGAAGAATTTGTCCTCTACCGCAATATAAAAGGGTAGAGCGGCTGTTTCCATGAAGGGCTTGTGCAAAAATGTGAACAATTTTGAAAATTATCGTCAAAATCACATAAAATTTAGAAGTTGAATCGAGCATGCCCAAATCAGTGAATATGAGATTAAGATAGCAAACCATACATGCACCCCACAAAAGCCCTGGCAGTTCGACACTGCGGACAGCCTCCTCCAGCTTCTTCATGTCTGTCTCATCATCCCATGGCTTTACATCCATAAGAACCGATGATTTACCACCTATATGAATTTGAGATGGCTGTTATCAAGTTGCCATTTCAAATTGAGAAAACTGAAGTAATACAAAACAACCCAACAAGCTTACTCTCTTTCTTCTTTGTTGATGCTTTTGCTTGATCCCGTGCTTCAGCAGCCTTCTTCTCCTCCTCTGTCTCATCACCAAAAAGATCAAGATCGTCATCATCGTCAGCAGCAGCTTCCTGAAATATCCATGGGAACCAATAAGTTGAAAGAAACTAAAAAGATGGCACAAAGCCACTTGGCTATAATTACTAGCTTTTTAACTTCTTTTTTGAAACAAGAAAATAACAACGAAGCCTGTTGGAAAGTCCCGGTTCATTGTTTGAAGCAAAGATCTTGTACACTTCCTTCTTTAAACCCCAATAATTGAAGTTTCCTTCAATCAGGAAGTGATGGGATTGGAGATCTAAATTAAAGGATCTTACCGACGTAACTATTTAATAGTCCTCACATCCCAAAAAGTAACATTTGTATTTGGGGTTGTCCCATGAAAATGCAACACTCCCTTTTTAAGCAAGTCTTTCAATTCTCGTTCTCTTTTTTTTTCATTAGTAACCATTACTTGAAAAGAGTAACTTTGATTTTGGTTCACTTATTTCCTTTACTTTGTTCTTATTAAGGGACATCATGACATTTGATCAATAATCAAATACTTTTAATAAACTGTGTGCCAAACTTAATCGAGCGAAAGAAAGTACAAAAAGAAGTTAAAGGACGCAGAAAAGATGATGTATATCCAATCTTAACCAGCTCTTACCTAAGTGAGGCCTAATTAAACTATAAAAGCAGGTAAATTAACCTAACTAAGGAACCCATTTTCTACCCAACCCCAAATGCCAAGAAAAACATCACACCTAATTCCCCCACGCTGGATGCTTTCGATCTTCTACCCATCTCTTCCATACTCATCTGAATTTAGAAACAGATGGACCAACCATATTATTGTTTTCGAGTAAAAGACATCTAGCCAGCATATCCATGAAAAATATCATAAAAGGTTGATGTCTTTACATCTCAGTTTTTTGGGTCTCAACCAGTCTTCCCTACAGTCCGCAAAAGCACCCTTCTAAAAACAGATTACATGTCTAAGAAACATAAAAGTAATCTGTTGGTGAGAAAACCAAAAGATTCAAGTAGAACAAACCCATTGTAACAAGATACTTATCAAATAATTTCAGCATCGTTCATAGTCATGAGGATCAAGATGTTTTCAAATGCAAAAATATCAAGAATCAAAAAGCAATCTAGGGAGCATATCAACATTTTAACAAAACATATGTATAAGCTACACTTGCCATTCTAGGTTAAATCAGGATCCCTTTAAGATAATATGAATCATAAAATAAAAACAGAAATAAGCAAACAGGCATACACACCTTGGCAGCTTCCTTGACAGGAGCGGCTTCTGCTGATGGAGCTTGGGAAGAAATGCTCACCCCAACAGCTTTACCAGGGAAGCTGCATGAAATTAATCAACAGGTAAGAAATAAGGTTAACTATTTCGGGTCACCAAAGAATCCAATGAGGTGACAATCGTGAACATGAATAGAGGTCCGTCAGCTGATTTTTATAAGATCATTTGTAATACAAAGCATCATATCAGGAAAAAGTTAAAAGCTCTTCAGCAAGTCTAGCTTCAAAGATTACAAGGTGTCATTTGCCTAAGTTGGAAGTTCAAGCCTACATTACCCTTCTTATAATTCTAGAAGTCAAATACTTGAACAATCAAACTTTTCCAGGAGACACACATTACTTGTTTTCAGCATCATGCTTTGCTATCGAATGCATAAGATATGATGCCCTCTCAAGGCAGAATTCCAACCAACCAACAATATCCATTTTATGCAGTTGACAAACACTTAATGGCTACCTTATTATAAATCACATGCACCTGATACCCAAATCAACCTTTACAGTCTTAATCACTCGCGTAGAATGTGGACAGATATTTTTTAAATTTTCTACAGCCGTGAAGTTCAGTTTCTTTTTAACCCAAAGAACATAGCATGCACACACCCAAAGTCATTTTAACCCTTATATAATCTAATATAAACATGAGACAAAAACACCTAACAAAAAGACAAAACCCCAAAGGGATGAGACCTGGTTGCAACAAGCCACAAGTTCAAATCTCACATATGTTATTGGCTCCTTCAAGATCATCCCCCTGTCCACGTGAAGGGGGTGTTTTGACGAAGCCCATACACTAATTGAGCCAAAGGTACCACAAAAAAGAGAACAGTGAACCAGAAAATATAAAACAAAGCATCATTGGCATAACAACATAATGGATCCTACAAGCACCAAACACTACGCTACATTCTTCTCTCCCGTAGTTTGCTATCAATTTCGAACCAGTGCATGACTTCACAGAAACATCTACTAATATACCTCTCGGCCCCAACTCAGAAATGATAAAAAGAACAACTTTTATTGATACAAATATAAAATAGGTGCTTAACATCTCAAAACAATATACCTTTCTTTCTGTTTCAATTAAGTCTATTTATAAAATAATTAAAAAGATAAAATCTTTTACAACAATAAGTTATTTTAGACAGAAAGTGGCAAAATGTGATTCTCCATCTATCTTATAAAATACAACATATTGCTTTTGGGGTTGTTTAGAAAATGCAACAATTTCCTTTCATAGCAAGTTCTCGATCCAGATTTATTTACTTTTGTGGTTTTGGTCCAAATATTAACAAGCATTTTGGATGATCAAACATTTTTATTAAATCATAGATCAGGTCAGAACCGGATTAGGCATTTTCATCTAAACTGTTCATTTCAAAAAATTGTTGACTCTTGCAAAGTGTGGCACCTTTCATTTATGCAATAATAATGTTCTGTTTGGCACAAAAAACCAAGTACCTCAATTGGTGTAACATTTTCTACAAACTTAAGAGACAATACTGTCGCAAGCAATAACATACATCCTCTGGACATAAAACATGCCACTTCCGTAATCACACGAAGGCTGTAAACCATGCTACTGGTAATTAACTACCAAATTGCCGTCAATGTTATACTATTTACACCAAAACATATAAGAATCACATTATACGTATTACCATTAACTTCTAATTTATAATGCTAATCACAACAACAAGAACTGAATTATCGACGATTATATAATGACAAAAGGATACTTTTCGGACAAACCTTGATGCAATTGTCGAAGCAACGCAGTCGTACCACTTGCTGGCAGAGGGATAGAGATCAGCACTTGGTTTCTCCAAAAGAGCTGCGTAAACCTTCACATCATCCTTTGTAATTTGATTCCTGAAACATAAATTTATAAACAAAATCAAATTCAAACCACATTAGATATAAAAGAAAGCCTCATATAATACAAGAAAACGATAAATACGAACCCGGAGATGTAGGTCTTCCCGGAGAGGAAAGATTCGAGGGATTTGACGCCGGTCTCAGTGTGCAGATCGGAGAAAGTAACGGCCATATCTGCAGACTTTTTAAGAGGGGGAGTGATGAGAAGGTGAGGAGGCTGGGGGAGTTGAGAAGTGTTTGTAGCGGAAAGTATGCGGTATTTATAGTTAGACCGGAAAAGGATGATGAGAAAGTGACGTAGACAAACCCTAGATCGGTATATTCAAAAGGGAAATTTACCCAAATAGCAATTTTATAAAATTAATTTCACTTTGTAATCAATTTACAAACCCTTTTTTTAAATAGCAAAAGAGGTGATCGTCTCGTATAACGGGTTGGATATTAAGGTTAATAATAAAAAAGAACTTTACATGGCTTTTGGGTAAATTAAAAAAAAACTTTACAGAAGAAAAGGAAAAAAAAATACGATATCTTTTCCATCTTGTAATTAGTTACTTAATTTACTTTATATATTTTATTTTTTATATTAACAAATATAATTGTTTATTAATTAAAATACATAAAAAATGCATTTTTTTTTTTTACAAATTACACCGTTGTAATTGTTTTGTTAATACGTTTAAAATGAACTCGATATTGAATATTTTTCGATTTAATCTTATATTATTAAATATCATAAATATGTATGAATTATTTTTAAAACTTGTATTTTCGACCCTTATGGTTATTTAATTTGTAATTATAAGGGTATAAAATATAATTATTAAAACTAATTCATTAAGTTTTA